CCTGTTATAGAATAGGTACGTTTCTGTTGAAATTTGGGAATAGCTCTCAGATGTGAAGGGAGGGGCTTTGATGGTCTGGTTGTGTGGAATTTGGAGTTAAAAGAATGGAGAGTTTTAACTCATGTCTTGGCATCCAATTCATTTCAACCCATCATATTTCCAGTGGCATTTTTTTACTTTATTGACTGAAATCTCAGTGAGGGTATTGAAGGGAGAACTGAACTTCAGCCCAAATGTCCCTCTCAAGCTTTGCCAGCTGTCACTGGAATGTGCCAAAACCTCCTTACCTGGCCTGCTGCAGGAAAATGGCCTTGGCAAAGGAACACACCACAAAATAATGAGTTTTAATGTCAGTTCCCTGCAAGCCCAATTCTGCCTTTCAAGAAAATCTAGGAAGCTGGTCCAAGGCTCCTCCCTGTGATTAGGCTGATTTGCACCCTCAGAAGTGAGGGATGGAAGGGAATGTGCCAGAAATAAAAGCCCCTTTAAGTAGTTTGATTGATCTGGTTTTCATATTTAGAGGGAAATTAGGGCCTGTCTTTAAGACCCCAGCATTTCCTTTTGCCATTTTAAAGTGATTTTTAAACGGACTTGCCCGCTTAAACAATGCAGACTGAACATGGCTATTGAGAGCACTGGAATTTCTCAAGCCTAAATAAGCAGTTTTCTGTAGAACTGATTCTCTGTGGGTTAAGCAAGATGAGCAGATGAGGCAGAGTGAGCCCTGGAACAACAGAACCCCAGCTGGATGTGTTTTATGGGAATACTGGGATAATGGGCAACTTAAGATTTTTTCACTGAGGAGTGACAAAGCACTTATCCAGGGGGGTGAGATGCATTTCCTGTGGCCAAAAGGTGAACAGCTGATAAAATTCCTTTCAGGCAGTGAAATCTCCTCATTGCTTGGATTTAGAGACTCTCACAAAGAAAATATAATGGGGCTTAATTTACTTGGACTTTGGTTGGTACTGTGCTTGAAGCCATTTCAAATATGTGAGCTCAGCCTATTTTTAAGCAGGTTTTTTACTCCCCACATATATGAGAAGATAATCAGGAAAGCTCCCTGTAAGTGTGAGTGTCACAGTGAGTACAAGCTCGAGATTTCTGTCTATAAAGGTATTATCCCCACTGCCAAGGGCATGATTTTACCCACACCAGCACAGTGAGCATTGAACAAATATTGACAAGTACTGGATTTCCTGTAATTCCTTTCAAAATCATATTAATTGTGGTGAGAGTTGAGCTGTGGCAGTAGGATTGTTCTTATATTCTGTCCTGACTGAATTTTTTCAAGTTTGCTAATTTGGGGGGATTAGAATTCTGTGGTGTGTAATTGTTGCTGGATCACCTGGATCATCTTCCTCAGAGGGCTAAGTTTGTTAGAAATGAATTCTATGCCATCTCTGATAACACAGACTGTGAACCATTAACTCCTAGCGATGCTACAAGTATCTGTACATGTTAAAAATAGACCCTAAAATAACCCCCTACTATCCTGAAATTTCTTAGTTGGTACCCACTGTATTTTGTTTTTATATTTCCCTTCTGCAGCTCCTGTAAAATCAATCTGACAGATGCTAACACAGGTCTGAGGTTCATTAGAAGGTCATTAATTATCCTTAAGGGATGTTTATGGGTAGCAGCCCTGTGTATTTTGGGCTCTCAAGACAAATTGACCAAATGGCTTCTCTGTAAACACTCAGCAACTGAGGCAGGCTAATGTCAAAATTGTGTGCCTGGCATCCCTCTGAATCCAACACAAAATCTAGGGCAAGAAAGAGGTTAGTGAAGGTGTCCCTGGTGATCATCACGTTGAGTCTCAAGTGGAACTCGTGATTTAGATATCAGAGCAGTTATAAACACTCCATGGCATTTTTCATTAATTAATTCATGAATAAAAGTTTCTATCTAAATAGTATTTTATATAAACAGAGTTACTGGGCTTTCAGGTGGAGGGTAGAGAGTGGGCAGTCCTGAGCAGGGAGCTCTCCCTCAACCTCAGTCCTGTGTTTCACCAGCCCTCCCCTTAAATTAATTTTCCATTCATTTTGTGGCTTAAAGGCCAAATGTAAAACCTAACAAAAACACCCTAAACTGATCACCCCCTTGTCCAAATAAAGGTGTCATGGTTTGTACTGAAATCATTTCAGACAGTGTGGCTGTGACAGGGATGGTGTGTTCAGGA